TGATCATTTACCATAAATTAAAGGTATCTTATATTATCAGACTTGTTATTATAAAACTCTCTACTTTAAGTGCAAAATGATGATATAAAACCATGATAAAAATCCACTTTTAATTACTAATAAGTCAGCATGCATATATGTGTTATGCTGGAATTTGTTGAAAGATGATATGTTGGAATAGATGGTTTCAATGTGTTAACAAAAGATTATATGTTATAATTGATTGTTTTCAATGTGTGTATTCTGCTAGAATTTATTGAAAGAATATATGCTGGAATTGATGGTTTCAATGTATGTTCTGCTGGAACTTAGTGATAGTTTATATGCTGGGGGTGTTATAGCATGTGTGGTGTATGTTCATGCCAAAATATGTGTTGGGCATCGAATTTGCGATTTGCTACCAAAATTGAGTCTTCTGCAGCGAATTAGCATTCGTTGTTGAATTGTATGTTCTGTAGTAAAATTATGGTTCGCTACTGAAACTGAGTTGCTTGCAGCAAATTAGCATTTACTGTCGTAAAACATATTAGTTGTAATGAATTAGTTTTCATTGCTGAAATTGTTGTGCCAGTAGTGAAACAGTTTTGCTGCCAAATTGGTAACCTATAGCGAACTAATTTTCGCTGCCAATTTCTACAATAAGCCTTCTAGGAAAAAATGACTTAAATGCTAGTAACAATTCCATGGTATGATGGTGTAAAATGTGGAACACTTGAGTATGAACATATGAACTCTTGAAATAAGTGGTGATGAATGTGATTCAAAAAGAAAAATGTATTGATTTGTGACCATTAATGTCTTAGGTGGTGCAGTCGAGATTAGACCATTGTCAAGACAAGAACAACCCACAAGTAGAATACGTAGGTGACTTTCACCTTTCTTTTACATATGTTGAATAATGAAATATTTATCATGAATGTTACTATATTGTGTTAGAACAGATATCAAATTTCCAAACACTTAGATGTTGGTAAATGGTTGATTAGCTTAGGCTAATAGCATCCGAATGGATGATCGGGACAAACAATTGATTAGTTTCACCTAATGGCATTCAAATGGATGACTGAGACAAATGATTGATTCGCTTCTGTTAATGGCATTTGAATGGATGATTTGGATGACCGGGATAAATAATTGATTAGCTTCAGTTAATAGCATCCAAATGGATGGCCAGGACAAATGAATGATTAGCCTCGGCTAATGGCATTCAAATGGACGACTGGGACAAACAATTCATTAGCCTTGACTAATGGCATCTAAATGGATGACCTAGACAAATGATTGATTAGCTTCGGCTAAAGGCATCCAAATGGGTTACTAATTAGTACTTAAAAGTGTATTTTTATCAATATTTTATATCATTATTTTGCATTTGAAGTATCAATAACTTTTTAACTAAATCATGTTTTATAATAACATATCTAATAATATAAAATACCTTTAATTTGTGATAAATGTTCATTTTAAATGCAGGCCTATCATATAAATAAAATGATTGATTGATGAGTTTAAAAACTAAAATTAAAAGAACAAAGAGATGGCTAAACTTAGAAAAGAGATGTTGGTGCAGTTTAAAACATAGGCCTACAACTTTCATGGGAGCCTAAAATTTTAAAAGACCATTTTCAAGTTCAAATTATAGCAACAACGAAGAAGTTCGAATTTGTCCTATAGCCCGAACATTGTTTATTGTTTGGCCCTTATCTAGAGTTTCAGAAGTCCAAATGATATCCATTTTTTTTTGGAAAGCTGAGACAATTTCCTACAACTTTCATGTTTTCAAAAGGTTTCAATTTTAATGTTATCAATGATGTTACGGATAGATGACATGACTAAAAGATTGATGTCTTCTTCCAAGTGCAGAAGTGTCAAATTAATAAATAACCCGACAAAACCGGGGTCGAACCACAAGGAGGTTAATTGTATAAATTATAGATAACAATAATACAACAACAA